CGCATGGTTTCCTGCACGATTGCACCAACTTGAACCACCAGGACCATCTTGAATAGAACAGCAGACATCCTTGCCTTGTTCTGATCTTAGAAGAGAAATATCGTCTTTCACAATTAGATATGTGGTTGGCTGCAGGATTTATATAGATATTCTGTTTTAGATTCAGGAAGTTCCCTTCTAGTCCTAATTTGCTGAGAGTTTTTGTCATGAATGAATATTGGATTATAATAAGTGCTTTATATGTATATAGAATTATCCTTATAAACTTAATTATTTGCACCTTGCTTAAAACCCATCAAAGGTTTCCCATTCCCTTTAGCATAAAGTTGAAGTTTCTTATCATGGTATATACCTCCTACCACTTTTCAAAACTCTTTTCTATACTACCACCAAACTACTTACGGTTCTACGCATGTTCCAGTGCTATTTCAGGCCTCTGTGAATTTTCTCAGGTTCTTTTATTGGAATACCATCTTCCTTACTCCCTAACCCTTAAATGTGTCCCACACATCCATTCATGTGAACTCTAGCTGCCTTTTAAAACTCAACTGAAACATCACTTCCTTTGTGATACTCCTTCAGTGTCAAATCTGTGTTGTATTTATACCTCTATTGTTCACATTACTATCTGCATGTAATTTGCTTATGTCTTTGTCTTTCCCCCCAATAGATGGTGAGTAACAGAAGAGTGACAACGAAGTTTAGTAAAAATGTGTAATAGAAAGTAGGCTCTCAATATAAGTGAAATAATGTCTGTAAAACTGTTGGAAGACTGAGAAATTTTACAGAAAATTTCTTTTTAGAAATCTAAGGCAGCCGGGCTCGGTGGCTCAGCCTGTAATCCCGCGCCTTTGGGAGGATGAGGTGAGTGGATTGCCTGAGCCCGCGGGTTCGAGACCCGCCTGGGCAGCAAGACCTCATCTCTACAATAAATCAAAAAAATCAGCCGGGTGTGGTAGCGCATGCCTGTAATTCCAGCTACTTGGAAGGCTGAGGTGGAAGGATCGCCGGAGCCCGGCAGGTTGAGGCTGCGGTGGCTGGGAGCGGCCACTGCACTCCAGTCTGGGCGACAGAGTGAGATTCCAACTCAAAAAAAAAAAAAGAAAAAAGAAATCTAAGGCATTATAATTTTTGCATTATATTCTACTGAATAGACATATTATTTTCCAGAAGTAACTAATATAAATATTTAGTAGAAATCCATATTACCAAGGTAATACAATTATTGTCATCCTATGTCTGCTGAAGCATTAAATACTTAAAGCCAATGCCAAAATCAGGCCTTATACTGTCCACCTTGGATCCTACCAAGGATACCTTATGCATATTTACAAATTAACTCATTTAATCCTCATGAAAACCTTACAGGCAGGGCCTATGATTATCTCCAATTTACAACTGAGGAAACAGGGCACAAAAATTTCAATTATGGAACTGGAAGTAGCAGATCTGGTCTTTCGAACTGGTCAAGTCAGCTCCAGAGCCTATTCTCATTTCTGTGATATATGTAATAACAACATTTACAAAGCACAAGTAAAGATACTGTTTTCATTTCTGTAGTCATATTCACAAAGTATAGTTATATCTAATTATGCTGCATGCAATGACTAAGTATGGCTCCATATTCTTGGTAGTGGGATTAGGAATATATTATGAAAGGGAAGGAATATAGAGGGAGGCTACTTGAAATGTTCACTGACAACTAGTAACTCACAAGTCACAACTTAAAAACATTGGCTTAAAATTTAACCTTTCCTGAGATGAATGATGTTGAGCATTTTTTCATATCTTTGTTGGGCATTTGTATATTGTCTTTTGAGGCATATCTGTTCATATTGTTGTGGAAGCAAACTAAATGCCCATTAACTTATCAGAGGATAATGAAAATGTGGTGTATATATACACTATGTAATACTATTCAGCTATAAAAAAGAAGGCAATAATGTCTTTTTTTTAAACAGGTACAGTTCAGGATTAGGTATACAAGTAGTTATCATACAGGTAAAGTTTGAGCCTCCCTTTGCTCCCCACTTTGTGATCAGGTTTGAGATTAGATACCCTTATTGATGTTGAGTCTCTCCCTCCACTAACCCAGCAGTATCACACTCCTACCAATCCCTTTCTTATAGTATTATGGTCAATGTTCAGGGTCCACTTATAAGTGAGAACATGTGGTACTGTTCTTTGACTCTATGATAGATCACTGTGATAGACTCTAAATCTATCCAAGTTGATGCAAAGTTCATATGTTTGGCCTTCTTTATGGCTGCATAATATTCCATTGTGTATATGTACCACATTTTTTCATTCAGCACAGTTTCAATGGACAGTTGGTTCCATGTTTTTGCTATTGTGAATAGTGCTGCAGTAAACATGCATGAGCAGATTTTTTTTTTTATAGGATGATTTGAGTTCCCCTGGGCAAATTCCCAGTAGGGGGATTACTGGGTCATATGGAAGGCTAATGTCTAGTTCTTTTAGGTCACCATACTGTTTTCCAAAAAGGTTGCACTAGTTTGCATTCCCACCAACAGTGTAGAAGCATTCCCTTCTCTCTGCATCCTCACCAGCATCTGTTGTGTTTTATTAATGATGACCATTCTTACTGGGGTTAGGTGATATCTCAATGTAGTTTTGATTTACGTTTCTCTGATGATGAGTGAGGCTGAGCACTTTTTCATGTGTCTGCCCATATATCTTCTTTTGAGAAGTGTCTATTTATGTCTTTCACCCACTTTTTTTTTTTTTTGAGTTGGAGTCTCACTTGCGTCACCCAGGATGGAGTGCTGTGGCATGCTCACGGCCACCCCAACGTCGACACGCAGGGTTCAGGCAATCCTTCCACCTCAACCTTCCAAGTAGCTGGAACTGCAGGCATATGCTACCATGCCTGTCTAATTTTTTTTTAGAGATGAGTTCTCACCAAGTTGCTCAGGTTGTTCTCGAAACTGTGGGCTCAGGCAATCCCCTCACCTCGGCCTCCCAAAGTGCTAGGATTATAGGCTTGAGCCACTGTGCCTGGCCTTTTGCTCACTTTTTAATGGGGCCGTTTGTTTTCTTCCTTTTGGCATGTTTGAGTTCCTTGTAGATCCTGGATGTTAGGCCTTTGTCAGATATACAGTTGGCAAATATTTTTTTCCAATTCTGGGGTTATCTCCCCGCTCTCTTGAAGGTTTCTTTTGCTTTGCAGAAGTTTTCAGTTTTGATGACGTCTTGATTTTTGTGTATGGTGATAGGAAGGGGTCTTGTTTTAATCTTCGGCATGTGGTCAGCCAGTTTTCCCAGCACCATTTAATGAATAGGTTCTCCTCTCCCCAGTGGTTGGTGGAGGCTTTGCTGCAGATGGGTTGGCTGAGAAATGAGGTTTAATTTCCGGAATCTCTATCCTGTTCCATTGGTCCATATACCTATTCTTGTACCAATACCAGGCTGTTTTGATTATTGTAGCCTTATAGTAAAGTTTAAGTCTGCAAGTGTGATACCTCCTGCCTCACTTCTTTTGCTAAGGATTGTTTGGGCTATTCATGGTTATGTTTCCATATGAATTTCTGTGTTGTCATTTCCAGGTCTGAGAAGAATGATGTTGGTAACTTAATGGATGTTACATTGAATCTGTAGGTTTCCTTTCGTAGGATGGATATCTTAACAATGTTGATTCTTCCTAACCATGAGCATGGAATATTTTTTTCCATTCATTTGTGTCTTCTTGGATTTCTTTGAACAGTGTTTTGTAGTTTTCATTGTAAAGGTCTTTCACTTCTCTGGTTAGGAAGATGCTGAGGTATTTCTTTTTCTTTTTTTTTGTGTGTGTGGCTATTGTGCATGAGATTGTGCTTTTTATTTGGTTCTTTGCCTGCTTGTTATTGGTGTATAAGAATGCAACAGTCTTTTGCACATTTATTTTGTACTCTGATACTTTGCCAAAGCCCTTTATCAGTTAAAGCAGGTTTTTGACAAATTCTCTTGGATTTTCAAGGTATAGGATCATATTGTCAACAAGGAGGGATAACTTAACTTCCTCTTTTCCTGATTTCCTTCTCTTGTCTAATTGCCCTAGCTAGGACTTCCAACACGATGTTGAACAAGAGGGGTGAGAGTGGGCAGCCTAGTCTTGTTCCAGTTTTCAGGGGAAATGTTTCCAGTTTCTGTCCGTTTAGCAATATGTTGGCTGTGGGTTTATCGTAGGTAACACTTACTATTTTGAGGTATGTTCCTTCTATTCCTAGGTGTTTGAGGGTTTTTATCAAGAAGGGATGCTGGATTTTATCAAAAACTTTTTCTGCATCGAATAATATGATCAGATGTTCTTGTTTTTACATCTGTGGATGTATAATAATGTCTTTTGCAGTAACTTCGATGGAATGGGAGAACATCATCCTAAGCGAACTAGCTCAGAAACATAAAACCAAACAGCACATGTTCTTACTTATTAAGTGAGAACTAAACTATGGACTGCAAAGGCATAGAAAATGGAATCATGTACAGTGAAGACTCAGAAAGGGGGTGGAGTAAAAGAGTGGAGGAACAAAAAAAATCACCTATTGGGTACAATGTGCACAGCTAGAGGTGGTAGGTACTCTTAAAGCTCAGACCAAAAACTATTTGTATCCCCCAAAGACATTGAAATAATAAATTTTTAAAAATATTTTTATTAGTTACTCCTTAAAAAAATTAACCTTCCTTCAGTTTGGCATGTTAGGAAATACTATGAAATAAGTGAATTTAAAAGAATTCTATGTGACATGTTAAGTTTTATATGCTTATACTACAGTTGCAATGACATTTTTGAATCTTTATATGTTGAAAATGAAAATTGTTCCATAAAACTGTAATACTCATATAAACTTTACTTAGGGAGAACAGAATAATTGAAAGTACATTTAAAATTGACTCCCAATACCAAGTACTCTTAATAACATAAGAATTCTTAAGTAGTCTCACTAACTTAATATAATTTTGAAAAAGTAAAAGACATTTAAAATACTTATAAAATAAGTTACCTGCAGATTGAACAGAACTTTTTTGTTCTTCTCTATTTCTGATGCTTGTGATTGTTGTTGCTTTGCAACTTGCTCTACAGCATCAGTTAATGAAGATGTGTCTTGGTTGCCTATCACTAGACAAAATAATAAAGTACATAATAAAAATTACAATGCAGATATTTTAAGTTACATTTCTTTACTCAAAATCATGAAAATTTTGATATTTTTTCTCACAGATAAACTAAATTTAGAATTAGTAGTTTCCCTTTTCTGACTATAAATAAAACCAGACCAAAGGCAATAATAGTAGTCAATTCAAAGTTGCCTACTGCAATGTTATACTTATTCCTTTATGAAATGGTATAAATATTTTGATTGTCCTAACTTTTGTATCCAGACCACTTACACATATGCTATAATTATAGTGCTACCATAGCAACTCTACAGCAATTATAGTTGATGAATTTTTATTGTAGGCCTGTATTTTCAGGTGTTTATGCTTTTTCTAAACACTGTATATGTTTTTTCCTGGCAAAATTTAACTGCTTTCCTCTATTTTAATTTGCTATCAATGTTAATACAATAATCCTCTCATAATATTTTTTGTTGTTGCTGATATTTTAATTATTTATTTCTTCATTAAGTTGCTTTATTACCTTCATTGGGAACTCCTTGACGCTTCCTTTCTTTGTTGTCAGACATTCTCTATGTCTATAATCTCCTCTTCCCTTGTTTTTAGTTTGCTTTTTTTACTACTACTCAGTAACCTATATTGATAATTTTTCACTTATCTTTGTTTCTTCCTGTCATGTATTGGTGATCCTGAAAGTTAAATTGTCAAATATGTCACAGGGATGGCAACAACACTTCATCATTAGTGCCAAGAGTTAAAATACAATGATTAAATGAGAGATGACTAGAAGAAAAGTAGAACTGGATTTAAATCTTGGGTCTCCTGCTTTTCAACTGTCATAAGTTTGAGTAAGTTGCCTAACTATTTTGATCCTCGTGTCCTCATCTGTAAAACCTTATTGTGGTATTGTTATAATTAAAGTAATATATGTAACATGCTTAGCACAGTACCTGGCAGGTACTGAGTAATTATTTTGGATTAGTATCAGGTACCTCTAGTACTATGATGAAATAGATTCTGAAAATATAAACAGGATCTGTGAGAAACTATGTTAATAATAATTAGCAATTTCTGCCATGGGTATGGAATGTAGGAAATACAGCACTCCTGTCTAGCGCTATTCTGGTCAGGGTAAGCCCTAAGCAAAGTTACCCATAAGGTGAAGAAGTATTTTTCTCCTTAAATCACTAAATATCTTTCTTAAAGGTCAGTTAAGTGAGTACAAAGCACTCAGGTACTTGTTACATGTGTTTTCCAAAAACAAAATTTAAATTATTCAAACATATAAACAAAAAGAAAGAAAAACAAAGTTAAACTGCTTCCTAAGTGTGGAGACTCAAATCTATCTAGAAATATCCTACTGAGCTAAAGAAATCCTGAGTGCTTAACCAGCAGATTGTCACAGCTACCCCTGAGAATCTATTATTCTTTCCTGTCACTTCCTTTAACGTACTACTTTGTGAAGTATTCCCCGGATGCTGAGCATCCTCACTGTTTGTGTCCTTTCCGCTTAACATGCAGAACCGTCCCAGATAAGTGTGAATGAATCCATATTCGATTTCTCTCCATCTCTTTTGTTTGGGTTTCATGGTCACAGATTCCATCCGTAATTCTACCTACCTTGAAAATGCATGTCCTCTACATTTATGCTTTCAGTCAGTTTTCTCAATTAATTCCAATGTTAAGTACTTATCTCATGCTTACTTTGTGCTAGACGCTGCTCCAAGTGCTTTAGATTTTTTAAAGAACAACAAAAACATTATATAGTGTTTATTCTGTGCCAGATGGTATTCTAAGAACTTTACAAATATTAACTCATTTAACTCTGTGAAGTAGATATTATTATTAAAATTTTCATTTTACAGAAAAGTTCAGCGAGGCACAAATAGATCAAGGAATTTACAGTCAACAGCTATTGTGTGTCAGAGATTATTTGAATTCAAGTATTTTGGCTCCAAAGTTTGTACTCATAATGCTAGACTATGAAGATTATGACTTTTTAAAGGGAAAAAACATGTCTTGACATATCACTCCAGAATCAAACTACAGTTGTCCCTTGGTATTTGCAGGGGATTGGTTCTAAGACTCTCCCCAATACCAAAATCAGTGCACATTGAAGTCAAAGTCAGTCCTTCAAAACCTACTAATATAAAAACTTGGTCCACTGTATACACAGGCTTCAAGTACCACGTATATTGTATTTTCTGAGTTTGGTTGAAAATATCCAGACAAGTGGACCTGTACAGTTCAAAACTGTGTTGTTCAAGGTCAACTGTATTTTGTACTCCTGTGTTGCTAAAATGCCCTTTAATCAACTTCCTCCTTTCTATTCCCAGTACTATTGTCTACATTTCTTCCTACTATTCCAGTAAAGTGCATTCACAAGAGCTGCTGCAGTTCCAGCTGGCCTCTAATGCCCTAACACCACAATTTACACCACTGAAGAAGTAACCTAATGAGTTCTTCATGCTCGTATCTCCAGTAAGTTCCTGCTAGGTAAGTAAACTTCCTAGTGAGTCCCCATTTTCCTCTCCCCCAAATCATTTCTAAAATCTGCCTCAGATACTGTGGGCACTATTTCCATTAAACTTTATATGCTGATTAACCTCAGTCTTCAGGTTACCCATCCCAGCCCTTTTATATTCTTCCACTGTGACCTCTGAAACTCATGATCCATTTTCAGCAAGTCATCTCTATCTTCAGCCTTTCCTTTCACCTTTGGCTTTTACTGAAATCCAAAGATATAACTGCCTCATTCTCAAGTCACAAAAAAGTGAGATTTTTTTCCTATTCCCCATTACCACTACCACATTATCACCTGGTTCTCTCTAAAACTCTCTCTGATTTCTTTGAAGTTCATACCACAGACTATATAAGCTTTACCTTTCCTTGTTACCAACTGATCTCCAGATCACCCCTCCTCACTCCTAGGTTATAGCACCTGACTTGCTGTTTCTCTGTCACTATTCCTCTTATATTTCTTTGGGATTTCAACATCTACACAGATGGTATATCTAACTCCCTGATCTCTCAGTTCTTTGATGTCTTTTCCCATCCATCCTCCCCAGCCATCTACAGAGTATAACAACTATACCTCATCCATAATCTCAGATTCAAGCTAGTTTTTATTTTTCTAGCTCATTCCATGTAGTACTTTGACTGTGTGTACTATTTAACCACACCAAGATTTCCAATCCATTGACGCTTCTACCTTTACACAATCTCTCAGTTCTTCATGTATTCTTCCCTCCTTGCCTGGCTTAGTTTCCCTTAGCACACACTCCTGTCCTACTTCTCTGGAAAAATCCCAACCAATTGTTTTGCTTACACTCAAATATCTGAATATGCTTAAAGACGTACAACAGGCCAGACACAGTGACTCATGCCTGTAATCCCAGCACTTTGGGAGGCTGAAACAGGTGGATTGCTTGAGCCCAGGAGTTCAAGACCAGCCTAAGCAATTTAGTGAGACCTCTACTAAGTCTCTAAAAAAAAAAAATTAGCTGGCTGGACATTGTGGTGCATGCCTGTACTCCCAGCTTCTTGAGATGCTGAGGTAGATTGCCTGAACAAGGAGGTTGAGGCTACTATCAGCCATGATTGTCATGATCATGCCACTGCACTCCAGCCTGGGCAACAGAGTGAGACCTCAATGCCAAAAAACAAAATAATAATAATAATTAAAAAATAAAAAACACATAACTATGCTATAGGCTCAGTTTAAATTCAAGACTATTTATATCACATGGGCCCTTGATCCTAGGCCCGTAAGATGCACTATGTCTTAAAGATGATTGTTGCACTCTGTCTTCAAAAACTATTATAAAAATAATAATTTATAAGCTACCTTTTTATTTAACTGAGATCACAGAAAAAAAGGTCAGAGAAGTTGGTAAATTACCAGCCTACCAGTCTTTTGCACCTGTACCTCTGTACTAGAATAAGCCCATTTATTCTTGCAATGAATGAAGTGCTCTTGCTCCTATACAAAGTCCACACTCTACTTCTATACTCCTTTCTCACCTACTCAAGGACTTTATTTCTTCGAGTGGCACTCAAAAGAATTTCCCTCTTTACTTGGTTAAAGATATTACTCTGAATCCTGACCTCCTTATTCCTCTGTCACCACCACTAGACCTGCTCCCTCACAGTCTTCTCTCAAATTATAACCATCACCACCACAACCCTCACCTTCAGCTATTGGCCTATTTCTTTGCTCCCCTTTAAAGCCATGATCCTGTGCCTCACTTTCTTTCTTCTCATTCTTTTTAAACTTGCTAGAGGCAGTTATTCCACCTTTAAAGCTCATATTCAACCTTTAAAGCTCTTATCAAAGTATCTCGACCTCCACGTTGCTGCATTCAGTGCACAAGTTCAGCCTTCGTTCTACTTGGCCTATCAGCATCATTTGACACACCTTTTTCAATTACCACCTTCTTGAAACACCATATTTCTGGTTTCCTTTGTTGGTCCCTCCTCATCTTTCTCACTTATCTTAGCGTATCCTCGTGCTCAGTCCCTAGGCTTCCTTCTGTTCTCATACACATTCTACACGCAATGCCATCAGTTCTATGGCTTTGAAATCCACTGACATAGGCTGACAACTGCCAAATTTATAACTCTACCATGAACATCCCTTTAAAACTACAGACTCATACCAAATTACCCACCTGATGTTTCCACTTGGATTTCTAATAGTCATTTCAATGTAATATGTTCCAAACTGAACTCTCAGTTCCTCTGTCTACCCTATCCCCACCACTAAACCTGCTCCTTCATGCTCTTCTCCAGCTCAGCAAATTATAAGTTCATTCTTCTTCTTGTTCAGGCCAAAAACCCTGCACATGGGTACAGAGCCAGGGGCAATTCAACCAAACTTGCCCAAGGTACTCATAAAGGAGATCTTATCACTGATGTTTCATAGACCCTTTGAGAAATCCTTAAGGACATCCCTCAGGTAGGCAGCCCAGGGCTGCTGTACCAGTTGGCTACCCATGGAATGAGTCATAACCTTAACTCTTCTTTCTCTTCAATGCTACACACAGTTCTTTTAGCAAAACCCACTGATTCTACCTTTAAATTATATTGGAAGTCAATCACTTTACTAATTCCAAATCTTATCTTAGCAGAGAAGCATTCCTTGGTAATACTTTCTAAAACATGGCCTGTCCTGTTTTATCCTCTGTTCCTTGCCCTGCCTCATTTTTCATAGTAGCATATCACCACTGACATCTGGTTTTTTTTTTTTTTTTTGTCAGGGTCTCATTCTGTCGCCTATGCTAGAGTGCAGTGACTTTCTCATAGCCACTGCAGTCTCAAACTGCTGAACTCAGGTGATCCTTTTGCATAACTGGAACTATAGGCGCACACTACCACACCAGGCTAATTTTTTAACTTATTGTAGAGCCCAGGTCTCACCAAGTTGCCCGGGCTGGTCTTGAACCACTGGGCTCAGGCAATCTTCTTGCTTCCACCTCCCAAAGTGCTGGGATTACAGGCATGAGCCACTGTGTCTCGTCAACACTGACATCATATAGATTTCATGTTTCTATATTTTTCTACTAATATGAGGTTCATGATGACTGAGATCTACAAGCACTTGGCACATAACAGGAGTCTGAATGTAACCCACCTCCACTCCAACTCACCCTTTTCTGACAGAATAATGCTCCTAAAGCACGGTTCTGGTCACGTCAACATCACAGCCAATCTTTGAACTCCATTTTAGATGGCATCTTCTCTAAAAAAATCTTTCTTGATCTTTCTGGGCAGCTGTGATCTCTTTCTTAGAACGATTGTTTCTATATCCTTATTATACCATTTTAGATAATAGTATAGGTCCTAGAGTAAAACAGAGCTAGTTTTGAATCCACTTACTAGCTTATTTGATAAATTATATCCAGCCTTGGCCTCAGCTTCCTTATCTATCAAATGGGAGCAATACTAGTACCTGATTCACTAGGGTTATTGTAAAAACCAAATGAAAAGATGCATAAAAGCATTTAGTTAATTCCGGTCACAGTGAATACTCAACAAATTATTATTTTTATTATTTTATATTACCTTTCCCTATTAGACTGTAAGCTCCAGGAAGACAAGCAGAGTATCTTATTTATTCTTTGTATTCCCTAAAATATTTGACGAAGTAATCTAAAGAAAAAAGAAAACTGGATTCATACAGTAAATGATAACGTAACTGGTACTTCTTGATCTCTATTTCTGTAGCAACATAAACTGAAGAACTCTTGGGTAAAATTTACTTAAACCAACTATTCAGAAATTTATGCTGTAAAATTGAGAAAGTTTTAGTTTTATCCAGATCGCTATTTGTGGAAAGAAAAAAAAGAAAGAAAACAATCTACTGCCATCTATTGATAATTCATTAAAATTGCATAAATCAAGCATAGACTTTTTTTTTTTTTTTTTTTGAGTCAGAGTCTCACTCTGTCACCTAGGCTGGTGCACAGTGGCACGCTCACAGCCATCTAGCTTTGACCTGCTGGGCTCAGGTGATTCTTCCACCTCAGTCTTCCAAGTAGTTGGAACCACAGGCATATGCCACCACGCCTGGCTAATTTTTTAATTTAGTGTAGAGACAAGATCTCACCAAGTTGCCCAGGCTGGTCTTGAACCCCTGGACTCAGGTAATCCTCTTGCCTCTGCCTCTAAAGTGCTGAGATTATAGGTGTAAATCTCCATGCCCAGCTTAGAGACAAGACTTTTCAAACACATGTTTTTAAAGAGAAGTTAGAACATCACCAGAATCATCCAAAAAATTAATTAATTGAATCATTAAATACTAATTGTATACCTATTATATACCAGTGTATTAGAATCTGCTGAAACTAGGGATTACTTCCTCCTCTGGCCAGACAATGAGATTAAGTTTCAGGACACTGAAAAAAAAAGAAATCAGAGGGTTGGTATGTTCCTTACCTCCCCATTCAGATACTGCAGGCAATATTCATATGTTGACCACATTGCTTTTAGTTTTCTACCAAAGGAGGGGCTTCTCTGAATATATAGGCAGTACTGGATTACCAAAACATCTCTTGTTTTGGAGTGTAGACATAAAGGGATTGGTATGCATTTCAAATCCATTAAAAGATGTCCAGGAAACTGTTTCAAAGAGGTTCTGTACCGCTGGGACAGAAATTATAGACCTTTGGTGAAATCCAGTCATAATCTACCTGCTTGTCTCATTCAGGACAGCATGGGGATAAGGTCTTTTTATTTCTCTAAACAAGTGAGCATGATTTATGAACTAAGAGCAACTTTGTAGTGGGTTAAATGGTAGGCCCCATAAGATATATTTATGTCCTAACCCCCAGAACTTGTACATGTGACCTTATTTGTAGATATACTTCAGTTAAGAATCTTAAGATGACATCATCCTAGCTTTAGGGTAAGAGATCAAATATGCAAATAGAAAATGGCCAGACCACATATAAAAAGAGGATTCTAACACAGGAAAACAATCCATTATCAATAGTAACCAGTTTAGGAAGCCAGCCTGTTACCTATAAATTAGACTTATAGAAAGTCAGACCACAATCTCTAGTAACAGTCCAGGGCATCAAACTATAACAACTGGCCCCAAATGGCTACTACTTGATTAATAGCCAGATCTTCTCTGTTTGTCCCTACTTCCAACTTGGGACTAACAAGAAAAGCCAAATATGCACCCCCAACCAATCACATGGGATGCCCTACTTCTAGATAGCCTGACCGTAGCTTCCTCACGCCAACAGCCTCTGATCAGGGCATACCCATTCCTCCGCTGGCCTCTGACTTTCTGACAAAATGCAAGAGACGGTGACTAACTTCCTTGCCAGCTCTAAATAACAGCCTTAACTTGCTCTCATTTGATTGGTCTGCATTTATTTCTACAAAGGCATTCTTATAACAGAAAGGTAGAGGAATATTTGAGACACAGACACACAGGGAACACCATGTGATGACGGAGGCATGGAGCCCAAGTCATGCAATCCCCAGTCAAGGGATACCTGGAGCCACTAGAAGATGGAAGAGGTAAGGAAGCATCAAAAGGTACAAGGTCTTATCAATTCCTCCATTTCAGAATCTGGCCTCCATAACGGTGAGAGAACAAGCTTTTGTTGCTTCAAGTCACCCGGTTAGCAGTAATTTGTTCTGGCAGCCCTAAGAAACGAATAGAAGCTTTTAACAAGGAAATTTGCATCTGCCACATGGCCTTTTCTGGAAAAAACCCATAAACCTTAGTGTAAATGGCTTAAGAACAATTGTTCAGTTTTTGAAATTCCACTTGTCCTCATTATGAGATTTCTGTGGTGTTGTAAGAATGTCTACAGTGGTTCCCCTTAATAGCCAGACACTATCTCTGCCCTCAAAACACTCTAAGTCTATAAGAGGGAGAAAGACACACAGTCAAATAATTAAAATGTAGAGGTACAATAGATGTTCTCTTCGCCCATCTACACTTAACTTCTAACCACTCTATTATCTTTGCAAATCATAAGTGGCTAATTCCCTTATCATTTTGAGTGTCCATGGCTAGGACTCTGTTCTCTAGTAAATCTGCCTGTTTCTGCTCTTAACAGTCAAATTGTACAATCTTACAATGAGTTACTTGTGTTTGTTCTCAAATCTGTTTATGCCAGTTGTACTTGATATTGTATTTTTATAACTTAATGAAATGTTAACCAACAAAATAGTGTAGAAATAAAGTTGGTTGTTTCTTTAAAATCTATGTTTAATATTTTGGAATATTAACTGTGTGTGAGATAATTATAACAGATTATAAGTAAATCTGCTCTCAGATTGCTTCATGAGAACCTTTAAGTTATTTTCCTCCTAAAAGAATGAAATAGGTTGGGCGTGGTGGCTCAGGCCTGTAATCCCAGTACTTTGGGAGACTGAGGTGAGAGGACTGCCTGAGCCCAGGGGTTCAAGACCAGACTGGGCAACTTGGTGAGACATTGTCTCTACAATATATTAAAAAACATTTAGCAAGGCATGGTAGCACGTGCCTGTAGTTCTGGCTACTTGGAAGGCAGAGGCAAAAGGATTGTAGAGCCCAGCAGGTCGACACTGGGGTGGCTGTAAGCTTGGCACTGCTTTCCAGTCTGGGGGACAGAATGAGACTCTGACTACACAACAACAACAACAAAAAGAATGAAATCTTGGGAAGTCTTAGCTGATGGTTGAGGTGGGTGGTTTATGCAAAATATACTATGCCCAATCAGTAGTCCACAAGGAAAGAAAAGGCACTGGATCTTCTCAATAGATTGGGAAATGAGCACACAGTTGTTTTAGGTTAAAATAAAAAGTTTAAGATATTTATGTTATACTTTTTCAGATTCTCTGGGTTAACTGACTTTTAAAAAAGTTTTATTTAGATATAATTTACATACCATAAAGTCCATCCTTATACAGTGTACAACTTTTCAACTAATTGCTTAGCTATGGGTCTAGACTACATCTATGAGAGGACTTCTTATCTATGAACAAAATGCTAAAGAAACACTGTTAATTCTGCTTGATAAGGAGATGGGAATTCAGGAAAAATTATGTGTGAACTTGAAGAGTCTCAAACCACAATTATAAGTAGCAAATGTAAAGGGTGAAATCATGTGGCCTATCCAAAGAACAGACTTTATTTGAGCGACTTGGGAATAGGGAAGTCATTTCTGCAAAACTAAGTATACATCTGAATCATACGTAGGGATTAAAACAAAACAAAAAAGCAAAGCAAAACATGCCCAGGCCTGACTCCCAGAGATTCTGATTCAAGGTATAGATGGGGTGGAGGCCTGGCATTATTGTTTTTAAAGTTCCACTTGTAGTTCTGATACGCAGTCAGGATTGAAACCACGGGAGTAGGGTGAGTGAGAATGGGGTGAGGGAGTGTTAGGACGTGAGGTTAGAACCAGATGGTGAAAGGAAATAGTATGCAAATACGGTATAACAAACTTCCCTGGCAACTTCTCTATTTTGAAATATTTTCTGTTTTTTACTGCCACTATTTTTGCTTGAAAGTACATGAATTCCCATCATTGTCTGAAGAAGAAAAAAAAAGAGAGAGAGAGAGAGAGATACGTGTTTTAAATGTGCTTAGTCACTAAAAGACCTCTATTTCGTTGAGGCAATATTTAACATAAAACAAGCTCGGGTAGAGAGTCCACTTTCTGATCGGGTGTGTACCATCCACCAGTCAGGGATCTAAACAAATGTCCAAAGAAAATACAAATTTTGACAAAAACAGTGGCAAGCACTACTGAAGAGTGGGTTCCTCTTTGGGTTGGCGCGCCCATTCCCTAGTCAAGCACAGGAATGTGCCCATCTCCCAGCGCTCCTGGAAACTCCCAGACGTCGGAGATTGAGATAGAGGGTCTTCAGCACCTACCACACGAACAATAATACAGGTAAAAGGGGCCTCTCCGTCCATCACAAGCTGTTTCACAGAAAGACCCCGCTTACTCTTTTGAAGGTGGGATCTTTTTTCCCTTTACCATATGCCTGCCTTCCATAACGTAGCTGCTCAGTAGTGTCAAGTAACTGGACGTCATTCTCTTGGAAGACAGATCAGGGACGCAAACCTGTGCCTTTATCGTGCTTCTAGGGATGAGTGTCTTCTGCTGTCCTACTAAGGACACATCTATTTTACAAGGGACACATCTAAGTCGCGGATACAAGTGAAGAAGCTGTAAGGAGTGTCGATGGGTCCTGCCAACAAGAATCAGCCGAGGAGGAGGGGCAACCCGCGTGCCAGCTCGCTTCTGGAAACAGACCAACAAAACACAACACTGAAAACGCGTCCCCAAGGAGGCCCCTTACTTGAGCCCCGGACGCGACAAGCTGCCAAGGGCTAACGCGACGAAGGTTCCCAGGCCGGGGCTCTGGTGATTCGACCAAGCGTCCCCCCCACACCGCTGGCTCAGCGAGATCTTCGTGTGACCGGAAGCGCGCGCTTCCAGCCCGCAGGCGGAGGGGAGGGACCGAGGGGGCTGCGGTTTACTCCCGAGGTCGCTTCAGCCGCCCCGCCTCACGGCGTCCGCCACGCCTGCCGCCTTGCGCCCCCTCTCGGTGTGGGTCGCTTCCGCCGCCCCGCGCCCCCTGTTCCCAGAGTCCGGCTGCTTCCGCCGCCCCCTCCACCCGCG